TTCTAGTAAGTCCGCAGATGTCTGGTTGTAGTCGTTCCATAACTCACATCCGTATGTCATACCAGGTATGATTATGCGCTTTATAATGGTAACACTTGTGAGCGGATTTAGTCCATATGGGTGTAATCCGATACCTAATAGCGAGTTTAAAACGTTCCTTCCTTTATAACAAGATTCGGTTATGCCGGTATTCGACTGTAGACTTCTGGTAAAGTGTATTCCAGCAAATTTATTACAATCAGACCACGGCAGAATTTTGTCCCCCAGCGTACATGGTATTTGGCAGTTTCCAGCATTGGACCTGCTCTGACTAGTTGTAAATTCCATCACTGAACTTTTTGAGTAGTTATAGTTGAGTCTCCATTTGCTAGCTTATGAATACACCACATCTAGTTGTTTTTGCACTAAACATTTGGACGCTGCAAGCAATAACGTATCATCCGCTAAGAAAACGCACGGGATGTGATGACTCCGGAGTTTCAGCCCTTGATTAAGCTCGTCTAGATGAACGATCAAATTGTTTATAACAATTAAAAAACACCACGCGGATAATGTCCTTCCCTGACCTACTCCCTGTAAAATAGGGTATTTATCACTCCTTTTCCCTTCGTATAACACTGAAGAGTACACTTCTTGAAATGAATCGAAGAGTAACCGCCAAAATTTTCCGTTAAAGCCGATATTATATAGCTTGTACATAAGTCCCTCAATCCACACACTGTTGAATGCCTTTTGATTGTCCAGGAAGGCGGCAAAAACTTTCGATCCACGCTCTACATAGTGAGCAATTGATTCCTGTACTATAAAGGCAGCCGTGATACTACCGCATTGCGGGCGAAATCCCTGCTGGAGGGGGTGAGGAAAGACCATTTCGGAACATACGGATGTTATCCGAAAATATAATATCTTTTCCAGGAGTTTTTGAAGAACCGGTGTTAACGTAATATCTCGGTAGTTATTCACATCAAGTCTGTCCTTCTTACCACCTTTAAACAGAGTTATAACTAATCTGTATTTAATCCCAGGCTGTGTGTTATCTATACTACCAATAGTAGTAACAGACTTTGTACCTGTTACTATCCCAGGCTGTGTGTTATCTATACACTACCAATGGTAGTAACAGACTTTGTACCAGTTACTATCCCAGGCTGTGTGTTATCTATACTACCAATGGTAGTAACAGACTTTGTACCAATTACTATCCCAGGCTGTGTGTTATCTATACTACAAATGGTAGTAACAGACTTTGTACCAGTTACTATCCCAGGCTGTGTGTTATCTATATATACACTACCAATGGTACAGTTGTGGGATCGCACATTGTTACACGATGTGCGGTGTCCGCACGATGCGTGCACGGGGTGCGAACGGTGTGTGCACGATGGGCGAACGATAAAAAGATGGACAATCAT